TTTGTCTTCACCTCCACTATTTATTTTTCAAGTACTTGAAAACAGGGTGTATCAAGTGGAATAAATGGTATCCTCAAGACACATTTGGACACAATGGCTCTTAGTGTAAAATCCTGCAACAACCCTAGTAACATCCAATGGTTTTTGAGACACAAAATAATTTCCAATGACAAGCACACACTACAATATTCTTCCACAAGGTCGTAAGGGAATGTGATAGATTAATGGGAAGATGTTTTGAAACATTTCTATTTTTTTCTTCTCACAGTATTTTCTTTGTATATCTCTGATTGGTAACAAAGTAGATAAAGGGCTGCCTGTTTAAACACTGCCTGTTTAAAGCAATGACTGTTTATTAAATTTAAATATTAATATGCATTACAAATCCATTAAAATGTTTGAAACATTATAATCATCAAGAGTTGCTTCCTCTTCAAAATATCCACAAAAACAAGACAAAAATAGATCTTAAGAACACGTTACTAATATTAGAGGCACTAATACACAGCCCATTGTTTTTCTCAGTACACTGTATATATTAAGATTTCAAAATAAAACAGGATAGAAAAAAGAGGGAATTTTGTAATGTTAAATTACCCAATTCTGCAGTGACAGATAGCATCACTATCATATGACTTTATAGGTATTACCTCTGTCTTCTGTCTCTCTGAATTTGAGATCTCAACTTTTGTTTGTGTGTAAGGAGGTGATACAGTATGGCTTTAGAGAATGAGAAAGAAAATATTCTCCCTCCAAAGGAAAATGGAAGCAAAGCCAAATGGTGCTGAATGAGGTCAAGTTCTCATTTATGCCCTTTGAAATGAACAATGAATACTGGGGAGTTTTAAACAAATGATCTTTAAACCTCAATTAATTTGTGTTTAACAGTTGGAATCCAAAGATACTCTTTCTGAAAAGTGTCTGCTATTAATGGAACATATTGGGAAGTCAGATACAGACACACATCAAAGCCTTATCTTGCAAAGAATCACCACTAATAATAGGAACTTCTATTGTGTTGGCTCTCTGTTCAAGACCTCCACAGAAGGAACTGTCAGGTGAGGAAAGCACAAATCATTTGTTACTAAGACAGCCATTCACAGTATTGATTTGACTTACTGTCTTCTAAATTGCAACACATTGCAAACTCCATGCTGTGAAGATTGCCAGGTACCTGAAAAGGTGAAATTCGTCATTTGTGTCCTTGGTATTGGCTTCAATGTTATGTGCTATATACGGAAGCAACTTAGAAATGCAGTGAATAGTATTTTCCTCCCTAACTGTTAATTATGCAATACCAACAGGTTAACCTGTATGAAAATGATTTAATGAAAGGCTTCATGCCTGTTGGACATACAGCATTACAGTTCACTACCTCTCTTCAAAACTCCTGGTGACACATTCAGGGTGCACATGTGATAAAAACAGTACACTCATCAGTATATACATTCAAAGATGATATTTGCACACAGGCAATTCTAAATATCCAAGCCATTCTTACATTTTTAGCTTATACAAATCACTACTGAGAATATACTGTATCCAAGTCCCTTATACAGGGAGAGGGAGGAAATAACAGCTTCAGAAAAAAGACGTTGGCAAGAAACCAAGATTTTTTTAATTAGGATAAAAAAAGAAAGTAATGAACACTTACAGCGCATCAAAAAGGCTTCTAAAATTTTTAATCCAGCTCAAATATAATGACTAAACTGAGCAAAAAAAAAACACCAGTTGAATAAATCTTTACCAGATTTACATAAACAGCAAGTGTGTTTAAAAAACAAAGCTATGTGCCCTCAGAAGGTAAGTTTTTTTTATCCCCAGCTGAATTACTGGTAGCACAACCAGAATCACACACCCCAGCTGCATGGCATATCCAAGAGGTCTTGGAAACCCCCGAGTTCTTGCCACATCTGAATCACTGTGACTACTAAACTAAAACTAAAAGAGATCAACTTGCGCTTGTATTTGTGCAGCCCTAAGCTGAGCTAGGACACTTCAGGGGGCAGTTCAGTCCCATTACTTTACAGTCTTCCATACAGACTGGCATCCCTCTCGACAGAATCACAGCTCTCCAACTCTAGTCCTTTTGCACAGCTGTTTTTTCCTGTATATTCTAACATCCACGGTTACTTTATGCTTAGAAATGTCTGTTGATTTTCAAAAATGTCCACTCTGTGTCTCTGGGCATCTTCTGTATCTCCTCTCCTCTAATACATTTTGCACAGTGGATAGCTCAAACAAGGCCCAAGAAAGGCATTTCATGCACAATTAGAAAGTGCCAAGCCTCTCCTTTTGAATGAGCTGTGCAAAGTTATCGTTTGGAATGCTGGAGCGAGAGCGAGTTGCAATGAAGATGTTGCCATTCAAACAGAGTTTAGAGAGACCCACAGCACTAATGTCTCAGTGAAAAACAGCAGGAACATCCATATTAATGGCAAGATGGCAAGGTGGTTAGAAAAGTCCTGATTAATCTGTCCACTACTGATAGACTCCAGCAGCGCTACCAGAAAACACAATCTGTAAACTGGCTTGACTCAAACATAGTCCACAACCTATAAGGGCTTAGAAGAGACGGCTTCCAGACAGAAACTACAGCTATGAACATCCCATCACTGAATATCCCATAACACAAACACATTACACGGATCTTAGCTGCAGATATTCAATACATCAACCAATACAGTGATGATAATATAACTCAGTGACACACAACAACAGCAAGCTGTGCATTCACATGGATGAGTACCCACTAGACTCTGACAGGGGGTCCACAAGTTTTGAACATAATGTTCATTACCTCACCACCCGATATGGGATACAGTATATTAGGGAGATTCTAAACCTTTGCATGGTGGCATGATGTGGCAACCTGTTCTGTCGATGCTATAGCTCTTTGGTTGTGAGTCTTAAGTATCTTTCCAGGCGGGGGCATCTTCATTTGCATGTACTTCCTACAGTATGTTTACACAGGGTTTTCCCAGCTGCTCTGGTTTCTGCCAAAGACAAGCTGGTTGGGTTAATCTAAGTTGCCTCTGTACAGTATGTTTGTAGCTCCCTGCAGCTTGTAATCCTTTCTCATGTCTTATGCTTCTGGAATAGGCTCTGTCTTGCCATCACACCTCTAGTAATTAGAAACATTCCCAACAGGAACAAGCAGCTTTCTTATATTGGATGAATGGAAAACTTCTGCAAGGTGAAGAAGACAAATACCACTGTGTCATTGCCATCAAAGTTCAGTATAACTGGAGTGCTCAAATATAGTTTTAACATTTTCATATGATTGTGCGTACTTGTTTTCATTTGACCTAAATTCTATAGGATGTTAGAAAATTACTACTGTGCTTCTCTGACTAGCATTAAGGACGTTTAAATTTGTATTTAGATCAAAGCTCTGTCCAGATTCCTACAGAATGTAAAAACAAACCATAAAATAAATTGTTGATGATGCCTGTTGCTTAATGGCATTATTTACTTTTCATTACAAATGTAATTAGAAATAACCCCTAAGAAAGAATAACATTCTTCACTGGATCTTTTTCAGCTGTGGGTGGTTATTATGAATCAATAAGGGGAAGGCTCCTATGGGAGAAATATTCTGTAATGAAATAAGAGTAATTTTCCTAAATTGCTTTCATTCTATCCCCCTGGTATTTACAAGCCCACTGAAATCTTCAACCTACAAATACTGCAGAAAATTTGTTCCCACCTTTCATGTGAAAATCAGTCTAAGATAGTGAAATGTTGCATTGCCACTGGTAGCATAGTAATTATAGCCATGTAATGGGAATAGATTCTGTGGAACTGTACCATTCATCTCTGAGCGCTCTAATTGTTTGGATTTTCCCCCTGGCTATTAGCAGATGGAATTTTGTATCTATGTCTTAGTGCTTTGGGGGAAGCCATTGATGCTCTCTATACAATGATGTAGGAGAATCATAAAAAGGGAAGTCAATTTGAAATTCATATTATCCTTCAGGATTCTTCCGAGACTTTGACCATGCAGAGTTACAGTAAATTTTTGTTATTAATTGTCACTCAGAACGACTGTTTGCATTGTAATCTCATGAGTAGTTACAATGTGATGCTAAGATAATGCATCAAAATAATGGAAATTAAATTAGCTACAGAAATTTTGCTGTGATAAGCCTGTGAGAATAAAAGTTTCTTTTCTGAAACATAGAATGCTATTTATGTCTATTTTTAGAAATCAGGAAATCAATTAATTTGCATAGAACATTTTATCTCATTTCAGTTCAGAGGTTTAAACGGGCATGTTCCTAGAAGACATATGTACTAGACAGCGCGCTGGGAAGAGATTGCCTCCGAGCAAAGCCACATCCTGTGTCACATGTGCTTTTAACAGCGACACGTATTTCATTATTAAGGTATAAGTGTCCTTTGATTACCAACATCGTGCCATTCACACTGTTTCTCTGATGTGTCTCAGTTTGGCAGCACTTTCAGCACAGAATAATCTACTTTGTCTGAACTTCAGCGCTGTTCTAGACATGCCCAGCAGACAGCTCCTCAGCAATAATTAAAATCCCAGGCTCCAGGTAAAATTCTAATCACTTTGAGTGAGAAGTGTAATCTCCTTATCCCTCTGTTCTATACATATTAAACCATTTGCCCTTGGTGAATGCTGCAAGGCATCCCTCCACTCACCCTTCCAAATCTCTTAAAAGGAACGTGATTATCTATTTATTATGAATTTCATGTCTCTCTGGAATACGCATCTTGTCTATAACCACCTTTTCTTCAAAATGATCTGTATTGCCTCTCAAAAAGTCCACCTTTTTGCAGAGCGCCAGATAAACAGTAGGTGCTGACAATAGAGGTTTAATCAAATCATTTGATAGCCTCCTAACATGGAAGAACAATGACTAGGTATAACGGGACAATAAACATTACTTTGCAATACCTATTTTAATATTCAGATATGATCACATAATAGTATAGTACAGAAAACAAAAAAGAAAAAAATTGACCACATGTTTTCTGACAATCACACCATTCCCCAGTCATAGTTCTCCTCCTTTATGGATAAATTTCCCTTTCGTCTTGGTTTACCATTTCTTTTGACAGAGATTGTGCACTTGGACAGTATATGATGCTTTATTGTTTATTGAAATAATGGTGTCAAATGCTAAAGAATATTGAATGCTATCTGCAAGGACTATAACTTTAAAAAAAGAGAGAAATAAAACTCTTTAAAATGCTACCAGAGTATAACATGAAATAAACATTTGAGCGTTCACAGATATTCTCAGTTATAAGTCACTCAGTATAAATAGGTACTCAGAAAATCCTGTTATATGGTAATTAAGCTTCATGTACTCTCCCTTAACCCCTTCATGTAAATTTATGCCAGAAGCTGTACATTCCTCATGTTTTTGAATTCAAAGAAGTGCAAGATCTAGAATCCCCAATGAATAACTATCACTGAATTATTCATCACACCTGGGCCTCTGCTGTGTAAATTTTTATTAGGTTTTATACATAGCAGATATGATCAGCAATTCATCAGACCTAACCTATGGACACTTCATTGTTCCCTCTAGAGTTTGTGATTATGGCCTAACCCCCAAAACAAGGCCAAAGATTTCCAGGACCCTCCAAACTGAACTCCCTTCGTTTTTAACAAAATGCTTCAAAATCCCTCCCACGCCTACATGAGGATTTTAAGGTGGTCTAAAATGCATGTATCATCAAACAGACCATTACACAAATGTAGCTTGACTTTCACCTAATCAAACAATAACAAACGGTTTACTGCAGTAACTTTATCATCCTACATTGAAGTGTTTTAAACAATTCTAAGAGACGTAAACTGTAAATCAAAATCCTAATAGGATGTTTAAGTGGCACTCACACTGTGATGAAATAATTATAGCTTTTGTAGTACAAGAGTAACTTTTTCAAAATTCTTTATATATTCTTTATCACTTTGAAAAAAAAAACAGGAACCAACAACAAAACTCCTCCTGAAGTTCTATACGAACATACTGCATATGGAAGGAAAGAACAGAATACTTTATATCTTGTAATCTACTGCATCAAATGTTGTTTTTTTTTCAAAATAAGAATTTTAATTTGCCTCCGAGTTGTTTTACCATCCATTATACTCATTCTGTTAAAGACAGGTGCTGACACGCCCCACACTAATTCCAACACTGCCTGCGCGTAATCTTAATTTTTTTCAGTTTTAAGTTGTCTGCTGTCTTTCGGTCCCCCAAAAGATCTACAGTAGCTCTTTCATGTTGATTCCCTCTCAGGGATGACTGCAAGGTCCTTTTCCTGCTAAGCTGTTCTACACATGGCAAATTACTAGGTCTGAATAATCACTTTAATTACCACCATACTCTTTACCCAGTACCACACCTTCAGAACCAGGAAATGTTTCCCCTGGCTTTTCTGGCTGATCCTGTTTGGCCAGAGACACTGCTCTGTACCCCAGCTCATGCGTCCCTGACACAGCAGCAGCCAGTTTGTCGTTTTCTCTCTCATCTCACACTCTGGGACCACAAAATTACCTCTACCTGCCTCACAAGGTGCTTAAGAATAATGTCTAAGTTTTTGCTCGGGAGCTGTTGCCTTTTCCAGCTATATACCACTCTTACAGGTTGAGTTGCTTGGATTGCCTAATCTTCATACTTGAGCAGTTATCAGAAATGACCCTCTTTATGATGCCTATATCTGTAATATCTCCAGGGCATGAGGGTGATTCAATGCTGGAAGTTTGAGAGGGCTCTTATTGTCCTTTTATGGTGGCACCATCTTTGTATGGTGCTTAACAGGTGCACTTTAGCCTCTCCACAAATATTTTACCACCCATATTTAGCCTTTAACTCTTATTACTGTTGAACATCTGGCCAAACAGCCATTCATAAAAAAATAATACAAAAGCTGGACAACACCATGAAATATTAAGGCAAATAATAGGGCAAAAATATTTACTACACCTGTGGGGACACTAAGGTGTGCCAGCCAAAAGGGGGCTGGTCCAAGGACAGTCAGAATGGCTGACAGCTCTACTGTTTGCACCATTCTCTCCAAAAAAGCAAGCGAGTGTAACAGGACTCAGTGGCACCAAACCTGCTATAGAAGTGACAGCACCCACTTAAAGCCTAGACAGCACACAATTCTTCCACTGCAGGCAGAACAGACGGTCTTTTATCGTAGCAGATTTCACCACTGTCTAGGCAGAGGTCCGTGTCCAATCTGAGCCCACGAGGGACTGTGACCGAATACCAGCAGTAGTAGAGCCAAGACCCATTATCCTGCATATGCTGTAATAGCCATCAGAAATATCCACTGATGGAAGTGTGCACACAAGAGTCAGGGAATCTACTGGCCTTATCATCAAATAAGGGAAAGATGAAAAAGCTTTTAAAGACTGGCAAATAAAAAAAAACAGTGCTATTTCCTTTTTGGGTAAAGAATTGATACAGAATCTTAACTATACATATTTCAGAATATGTTTGACATGTTGCTAGGTAACCAGAAGATTGTTTCTGAGAAAATTTTGAGAATAATGATAATTACCTTAGCCTACCTTAAATCAAACCTTTGGCTCAGACACCAGTCCTAAAGTACAGACCTATTATTCTCTTTCAAACCAAGAAATGTTCAGCTGAGCATCCTCATTTATAAATCAAAGAAGGCCAATTCAAGGGTATTTAAATCCATCTGGCAGATAGGCAGTTAGAGGACAAATAGAATGATTTTTTAAATAAAATGTTGTTAAAAAAACAAATCTCTTCAGTTCTTTTTTTAAAAAAATCCATTAAATCTAATGGTATAATATTTTATGAAGGATTTAGGAACGTCACACTCAATCTCTTTCACAGGGAAATTTGATTAAAGCAAATGATATAGTATAATAAACATTAGCTTGTGTTTGACTTTAACTCAATGATTGTTAGTAATTGCTTTTAAGCATCCATCTCTTCTGTTCTACACACACGGTGTTCAATCTGGAATTTGAATTTTTCTATAAAATGTCACGAATTCACAACTGCACTTGGCGATAAAACCAGAACAAATCTATTAAACAAGCAAAACAAAATTAATGAAGCTGCACCTCATTATATCCAAGAAGCAAATATCACATTTTGAAGGAACAACATTTTTCCCTTTTAGAGTTTTTTCACACTCCGCAATTTTTAATTATTTGTAAATACTGTACATGAATGTGTACAGAACAATGTCTGAAGTTGGCCACAAACGGAAACATCTGCTGAGCTCAGTCAACATGCAGCTCCAGAGCTAATTGTGAGTGGAATGTTTGATAACTATATCTTGTTTAACAGATTGTGTAAATGTTCATAATGCTCAAGTAAACGTGACAATTAGAAAATTTTATTATTACAAACATATTCTAAATTGGATCTCGCAATATGAACAGCTGAAATATTTAAATCATCAAGCCCTTCAAGTTCAATAAAATGTGTGAAAAGGAACCCGGTAACTATTTTACCAGTCATCTGTCTCACTTTCATTAATGATTCTGGAACAGCATGCGGATTCATAACAAAATGAGGAAGACTGGTGAGTTTAAAACTGTCGTTCTCGTCCTGGGAGATTTCGAAAACAAAAGAGATCTTTGATGATGACTAAAAAACCCAAAGCACAGCCAGAAATTTGGCCTTGAGCTTAAGGCAAAATCGGTGAAAGGCAAATAAATGAGCCTCCTCCACACATCTCCCTTCATAGTCACAATCAACAGATAGCACCGATTTTCATTTCACATAATATGCAAGTGTGGAGAAAACATTAAGCTAAACCCCAGTGGATGTTAAAGATAAGAAACCTTTCTTTTCAATACCATTGTAAACCCAGCATGGTCTGTTGTGTGTTCTGATGCATTTCTCAAACAAGTAAGAACTTGCTATTGCAGAACAGCTTGTACAGTTCAGTACAGAGTATGAAACTGTAGGGGGTCTGGCTGATGACAAACATAAAAGTGCAAAGACGTAGATGTACCAAAACATTAATTCATCTTTGTTGGGAGCAATGCACTTGAAAAGGAGGAATTGGTGGCCTCAAACTGAACATAAGAGAAGTTACAAGCCAGAGCCAGCAATTTAAGACATCTGTGTTGCCTACAAGTATTTCCCAGTAATTTCCATGGATATTCATCTATACACGAAGCTCAAGCATCAAAGAAAACAGGAAGGGGAGAGGAACAACTGATCACAGTTGTTCAACTGGCCAAAATTCAGTGAGATTAAAACCTTTCAGAAACATCCATTTGTTATCAGAAATACCCCTCATTCCTGGTAAGAGTCACAGCAATCTAGAGCCTAACCAGAGCATAGAATACCAGTTAGAAGTGAATCCTGAGCAGGCCAACACCGCATCTCAGGGCACACACAGGAAATGAGACCCTGCGTTAACTCTCCCGCATTTCACCACAACTGGGAAGAAACCAGAGCTGCCAGAGAAAACTCTCCTGAGCATAGGCAGAACATGCAAACTCCACACAGAGCATGGTTCAGAATGAAACCAAGGGCCCAACCTCCCAAGCATACTGCCCTCCTAGAAACATTTTCTAAAAACTATAAACATTTTATATCTGCTTATGCTCACATGTCAGAGCACCTGCAGTCTAACTTAAAAAATTCATTCACAAGAAATTTTTCCATACTGCTAACATATACATATCTCTGTTTCTCAAACATGGCATTTAAGACTAAGAAGTCTATGAAACATTAAGAAAAGGCAAAAAAATGCAGAAGGACCCTTTTGATTCAGAACTTCTTCCATACTTTGATAAACCTTTCCATCTTCTTGAGTGATGCATGCTTCTATACCGTACATCGCGTGATCTCCATTTCCTATGTCACAATTAAAGTGGTGAGCACGTCCCTTAAGTGGCTCAACCAGCAAAGGCGTTTGCTGCATGATCAGGGAGGTACGGGTTCGAGTCTGGGCCAAGTCATGAGCACAATATGACTGGGATTCCACAAGCAGCAGCATGTGATTGGCCGAGCACCATCGAGGATGGGGTTTGGATTACCAAATAGGAAGTCTGTGACTTCCTGTGACACCTGCAACAGCAAACACGTCCGTCTCCCCCAGCTGATCAGGAGAACTGGGATTTCCAGTGAGTACATCAGAATCTGACTGGCTGCCATAGTTATTAAATAGTGATAGAAACTATTCCCTTGTGACAAAAAACTAACCACAAGACCATTTATGTGCACCTGTTACAGATCTGAAGTTAAAGCTTGATTGCCAGCGTCACCTCTAAAAGGGCAGGGAAACGTTCCGTGTTATATGCCTTTTGAGAAAAATACATGCAAATATAAGTAAATGATGCAAATTGTTTGACAAAAAAACAATGCAATAAGGGATATTTGAAAACAAATTAATAACTAAAGTAAGATAAGATCACTTTATTTGCCATATACAATTTCTTGTATTAGGAATTTGTCTTTTCACATACCCCAACTTGCTCTCCATGAGACACACAGATGGGGAGAGAGAAGCTCGGGGTCAGAGCGCAGGGTCAGCCATTTATACGGCGTCCCTGGAGCAGCTGGGGTTAAGGGCCTTGCTCAGGGGCCCAACGGATTAGGATTCCTCTGCCGGCCCCGGGATACGAACCAGCAACCTTCCAACCACACGCACAGATCCTGAGCCACAAGTACACGTGAAAGTGTTGAATTTCCTGTGAAATATAATATTAAGCATGTATTTTGTTTCCTATAGGATGAGTACATTCTGCTGTATCGTTTTGAGAAAAATGTATACAACATAGTGACCCTTAACCGTACTTTAATTTCGTCACATTGCACATGCTGTGTTGCTGCAGTAAGGCCTAAATGTTGTTCCAGTGTCACGTATTATAGTACTTTACACACAAATTTCCCAATACTGTTTTTCATTCAAGGCTAACAGAATCCATTCACCTAACTACCTGTATGTGTTAACTATCTACTGTACTGTACTGTAAGTAGGTGATTCTGATTGCTCTCAACTGAGCTCTTGAATGCACTCCACTAGATAACACTGATATAATTGTAACTCTTGGTAATGATGATGAAGTATTTTAGCCTTCAAGTGTATTGATATCAGGATATCCACAGGCAGATGCACATCTCTTAATTTCATTAATTGCCAGGCTAAAGTGGATACAAATCATTCTACTGAGAGAGGACGATGTGATAGACTGGCAACCTAAAGTAGATTGCTTTAATGAATTTTAATATTCTTTATTACTAGTACTGTAAGACAACATGCATTTCCAGTTCCAGTTTTCTGTCCTTTAGGAAAGAAGCTTGCCAAATAGATTTCTAGTCCTTTTCATGGTTAATGACTTTTGAAATTTTGAATTATTTAATGATAAACTGCTTAGCCGTTTCTCTGTTACTGTCCCTTCATCATCATCTCCATAATTGAAGATGTCGCACATTGTGGCAGTTCCAGTTCAATAAACTCGCTGATTAGTTTAACTCAAAGAACCAGCCACTGGATCTCCAGAGTTCACAGCCATGTAGAGT